AAGTGTAAAGCTCTAAATGTAAACCTTCAAAACCGCAAAGACTAATTATTCATATTATTCTATTACAACATAGTGCTTTAATAAACATTATGTTTGTTGTTTTTAACAGCGATCTTTGCTGGATAACATCTTTAATCTTAAGAAAACGCTTTAGGATTACTTTAGGATTTAAAAGACTAAGAGAATTGATTCCTCTCATCAGTTCTTAGTTGAGAGCTCAGGTAGCATCATGCTGGAATATTCAGCTTCAGTCAGGATTTAAAAGCAATTAGCATTCCAATAAAACTTGCTTAAATTGTCCTGCCAGCCTGCATTAACCAGGAATGTCTGAAACATTTGCCAGATACTAATTACACCCCACTTCTTGGAGGTTATTGTGTGACATTACAGCTTAACAGGACAGTAATGCTCCATTCTAATAGAAATTTAAAAGGATATCTAATAATAAAGCTCTAAATTTCCTGTGCCACGCCTGCAGATGTTTTGGAAAAATCCCAACTTCACACGATGAAGCCGACGGTATTTTACTGTGATGTTGATCTCTGCACCACAGCTATGCAAGAAGAAATGTGGAACCTTTTTTATCTCCTCAAACATGAGTCATTTTTTTTTATTCAGATGACTCCAGGGGTGAAGCAACTGTATTAATTCAGCGATGAGAATGTACTAAGGAAAAAAATATGTGTGACTGTGAGATTAGTTTATAGGGCTTCCCCGCAAGCCCAGTCAAGTCAGTTTCATCTGTATAGCTCACTGCCATAAATAAGTAATTTCTCACAGTCCAAAATGGTGATTTGCAGATATAGTTCCTTGAAGAGGACTATTAGATAAATATTCCATCTGAAAAGCTAAACTGCTTATTGGAAAACATGCAAAAATACATTGAAATTTATAACACAAGTCAAGTATTCTAGATACTATTAGCAGAGCTACCCTTTGGTTTTAGATTTTATTTTGTCTTGTTTATCCCACCCGTATGAAATGATGCAGAAAATATTAAAGAATTAGAGACAGTGAAAGGACAATCAAGGAAAGAAGCTGACTGTGACTGTGTGGTAAACATATTTCATATCATGCTTGGTTGTCACTTGAAATAACTCCACTGCGAGTGGTCATGACTTTTATGATAAAAAGCAGATACAATGTGAATAGATCTGAGGCAAGCTTCGGAGAAGCGCTTGCCTCCAAATTGCACCTATATGAATTTTTATAAATGCCATTTAAATAGACCCAGTTCATAAAATATATAATTTCAAAGCACTTTACAAAGACAATTCCATCAGAATATTCATTCAGATTGTTAAGTTTCTATCCAAGGAAAAGCAGTTGATTGCATTGAATCATTGAATTGCATGACACACTGCTCCTGGATGAGCATGTGTCGACAGGAGATATTCCTTTGGATTTTATTGTTGACTCTACTGCAATTTGTCACAATTAGTCAGAGTAAAAGCATTTTGATGAAGAAAAATTGCTAGATAGAACTAAATTTGAGTTCTTCAAATTCCAAAGATATATATATATATATATATATATATATATATATATACAAATATATAAATTTTTTTCTCATGTTTATTTTAAAGTCAACAAGTGATCTTGTAACAGCTTATAATATGCACACATGACACTTAGTGTGACAACCTGCACAGAATACCTCCTGACCTGTATCCCTTCATGTCAGAGAGGAGAAAATATAGATTTATTGTCTCCTCACTATATTTTAAACTGATGGTGGAGGTTCAGAAATATTTCATACGGGTCTTTTCTTTTATTTTAAAAAAGGATTCTTTCATCCTAAGAAAAAAGCAACTAATTGTTGAGTTTTAAATCTGATGCAGGATGATGGTCATCTTCCCATTTAATTAATAAATAATGGGTGAAATTAAAAAGTGGATAAAACCAACTTTAAACATGCACAGAATATAGAAACATGAAAGAAGGTTGGAGGATATAGACAAGAAACCAGCTGTGAAATAGGAGGCCACTCTGATGCTTTGCTGGGTTGTAAACAGTTGATCATAATGTTAATATTTTATCTCATGCAGGATTAAATCAGTATTTTACCCAAGGCGAATAACTCTGGGTGAAGTGCAGCCACAAACCATGACACATCCTCTGCCGTGCCTTCAAAATGCCTCTAAATAGTAGCTGCTGTAGCTCATTCCAGAAAGGCATGACTCCACAGGACTTGCTGCTGGTGAATTTTATCCCAACTCCTCAGTAATTTGACACACCTATACATTTGCTTCCCGTTTCTGTTTCCTCAGAACAACCACTTGGCAATCCTATTTCCCTTAAGGACTTTTCAGTTAAAACTTTGGCAAACTTCTCAAAGCATGACTCGTCTCTGTGGTTAGGTCTTAACTGTAGTAACTCATACCTTCACACAGTTTACTACCTAAATATTATTGCTAATAGGATGAAAACTATATTTGCATCTTAAACCTACTGAAAGCATGCCAGGTTTTTAATCACACTGCTGTTAGTCACAGTCTGAGACATTCAACTTTAAAAAATAAAATATTTTTTCAATCATTTACTTCTTATCTTTATAAGTTTTTTCATATTTCTACAAAATGATGCTCCATCCCATATATTAGGTGCCTTATTTAAGCATCATACTTATGTCTGGTAGAAATGGCTTAAAAAAAGATTAATTTAATACCATCAAGGTCCTAGATTTGAACTTCTGTAAACACTGAACATTTACCAACTCAGAACTCTGAAGGCCCCATTGCAGAAAGATTTTAGAGCAATGGCTCAACCCCATCAAAAGATTAGAAAGGTCCTTAAATTTCCTAAAGCCAAATATAAGGAAAGATGGAGATGCATGATCAGTCCAGAATCTGTGAATGCACTCCCTCTCAATCCTCAGTCATACATCTTAAGTAAACCAAAACTAAAGTAATAATTATCCACCTGGCACTAACCTCACTTTGGGAGAGATAGGCAAACATGCTTCCCGAATAACTTAAGCCATTCTGTCTACATAAGGATTTATCTTTTGGAGGAGGATAAGTAAACGTCATTCTCCAAATACTCACATTTTTTTTCTTGGAACCAGAAAATACAGAAGTTTGGCTGAACCAGCAGTCTTATGTAAGATTCTTCTAGGAACTGAAACAAAATGTCTGTGGGTGGGAAGGTTTGTGTTTAACCTCCAATTTAGGGATTAACTTAGTAACTTTCAGCCCAATAAAGTACACATAAGTCAAACAATCCATCATAGGCTTACGAACAGCTGCCACAAAACCTCAAAATCTTTAAAAGACGGCAGAGAGAAGGAGCAAGAAGCCGCGATAACAAAACCATTTTTACAGGCAGCATTGGCTCAAATTACAAGAGTTTCTGGAGGTTTAGGTAACTCAAAGGAAATGAAACGGCTCTAAGCAGCATGTCACTTGGTAAACTGCAACAGAATGACTGTAATTAATAGGTTGCCAAGCCTGGAGAAAAGTTGATTTGAACATGAAAGATTTTACTTAATCTAGAACATATCTGAAATACGATATGTAACAAACAAAAATGATGGTTAACTGAGTTTAACCATCCTGTCTGGTCAGTTAGGTTAAAAAAAAATGTATTTCTGAATTTTAGTTGCTTACAGCTGGCATTCTTCCATCAAGTAGATTTATACAAAAACCCAAAGAAGTAATGCAAGCAATAAATAGTTTTTCCCTCCAGTTGGCCAAAACATTAGTGTTTTGAGGGAATCCTGGTTGCATCGGGAAGGAAAGCCAGGATAAAGACTTTTCCAAATCTGTAAGTATGTCAAAAGGACTTGCTGTGGCAACCATTGAATATTGGGAGCAGCCAAAAGCATATACTTAACATAGTGATGTAATTCATGAATGCTGATTGGTCAATAATTTGGCCTTTCAGTACTTGCTCACCAGTAGACAACAAGTGTAATGGAAGTCAGTATCTGACCTAATGACATCCAGACCAATAGTGGCAGTTGTTTCAATATTATTACTAGCAATAGTAACATTCAAATAGCAATTCATTTATTACCCATGGATGCTGCTAAATGTTACAGCATGTCTAATTATCAGCAATATAGATTAATGTTGTCTAGTATCTAACAAGCAGCCATTGCATTGTTTCCTTAAAGGTATCGTGGAGGATTTTTGTGAATTTTTGAAAAGTCCCACCTTCTCCACCTTTAAAGAAAAATTCACATGCATATAACCCTGTAACTACTAACGAGAGGAAATGCCTTTTAAAAGCATGTGAGAGCGTGCACGAGACCATTTCTCCTCGTGCACGCTCTGTTTAAGAGTTACTGTTTGCATTGCTCATACAAGAACATCATCCACTATACCTTTAATAGTTGTTGCCAAGTCAATGACCAAGAAGTGGGCATGAGTTTGGAAAAAAATTATTTAAAATAAGGATAGGAAAGCTGGTGGTTACTATGGAGATCCCTAGTCCCAGGGTGATGGACAGACATTGCTGAGCAATGATTAATACTGACTCTCCTGCAACCAATACATTTACCACTTAATTACCTCCTATTTTCTAACAAGTCTTTTCTATGCAGCTAGAGCAAAAGATCATGTATTTTTGTGTCCTTTTTGCAGCTTCAGTTTTTTAATCTTAGAATATCTGCACTGCCCTCTTCGGTTTTCTGTATCTATTTGAAACATGCTATTATTGAACTTTTTATTTCAAATGCATGTTATTAATGCATGAGGCTTTAAAGTTCTGCTCACTTTCTCTCAGCAGCTTCAAACTAGCTTTATAATATAAAATCTTTCATTCAGTGTTGGTAATTTTGAATGTCCATTTTTTGAAAAACTTTTTTTTTGTTCTTAAAGTTTTCAAACCTACATTATATCTAGAACATGGTGGATGACAGAGTGCGGAACAAGTAGGGTGACTCCATGAGAGGAGGAGACCAGGACGGACTGAATAAGCCATTTGTTTGTCCCTCTGTTGTCCTCTTTGGTTTTACTTGATGCACAGTGCCTGGCATCCAGTGCGTCTCCTTTTCATAACGGCCACCACCATCTTCACATAACCACTACGGCTACTGTAAGAGCAACACAGTATTTTATCCGACTTTGTGACCGCTCACTGCAGGCCTGATGATGCAGGGACTGGGGAAGACGGAGAGAGGAGAGCAGGGCCGCGACATCGACTTGGCATCAATGAGGTCAACCATGCCAGCCAGCGGCCCTCTGCAGGTAAGGGTGTCCCACTAGATGGAGAAAGACACAGATAGAATAATCTCGGTAGTGTCTCTGTTTGCACTCCCTTTTCTCTTTTATCTCCATTTTATGTCCTTCCTGGCATATCTGTTCCTCTGCATCACTGCTCCTGTCTTGGCTATGCCACAAAGCTGTGGTATGTGCTGCATGAGTGAGAGCTGAGGATCAGAGGGTTGCTGTTTGGCTCTCCAGGGTTTAGGTTCAGTTTCTGGACACTGTTCCAACACAATGACGTGATCACAACATCCATCAAATATCAATTAGGACTAGGGTGCTAAGGCTAATAATGGCTTCTAATGTAACCATTAAAGGTTCTAGGAGCAGGGGAAAAGAAGGTCACTGATGTGTTGGAAATCTGAAAAAAAAGGAGGATAAAGCATCATAACAGCAAAATGTATTATTTTATTATTATGGGAACTTCTGGTGTCGCCAGAAAAAAAGTTAGTACTTTCTTTAAAAACCTCTTGTAAGGTATAATGTTTGTTTTAGGCCACCTAGTGAAGTTAAGCTACGTATTACAGGTAGCAAAAGGCAATTTGGTTAAAATGTTCAGGATAAGGTGTTTTCATGCAGCAAAAAGTTCTGTTTCCATATTGATTACATTATTATTATTATTATTATTATTATTATTATTATTATTATTATTATTATTATTATTATTATTATTATTATCCTTTATTTGATGCAGTGAATCAAGTTAAATATAGTGAGTTTATGTTATTCACTTAAGAAATATGAGCTGTTCCAAATAGGCTGTAAAAAAAAAAAAACTAGAATATGTTGTGAATATTGGTTCTTCTAAGTTCTTCAACTCATTTAATAGTTGCCTATCTTCTCAGACTCAGACATACTTTGATAATACCTATACCTGCACAATTAATAACAATCTATACCTATACAACCACATTTACTCTCCTTTAATGAGTCATACTTAAAGAGACATTTTGTGGTTTTTACTGAAAATTATCTTTAAAATAGCATTTTATTTGACCCTTTACAACTCAAACATTATTTGATGAGCAGACAGGTACCTCAGTTGTTCAGCTCCAATGCATCTATCAGCTTGTAGCGTATTTTCCTGAATGTTCTTTGGGTCAGAAGTTTCCGCGCTGTTCGGCGGATGTGACGTCAATGTTAATCGAGTCCAAATCTAGTAAACAATTGTCATATTCACAAGGAATTTTGTGGATATTTGGCTGCCAGCTCAACTCAGACACCAATGCCAACTCCATGTTAAGTGTAAAAACATTTAAAAAATAAAACGTAAGTAGTAGCACTAGCTGAAGAGTGCTGCAGTTCTGTGTTTTGGCCACATTTGGCAGTATCATTAGAAAACTCTCTAATGCATCTTTAATACAATAAAACAAGTACGAGATACATTTGACCTTACTACTGAAATAAAACTATTTTCAGCTGTGAAATCTATTGCTTTGATGATGATTATCACCAAAAACTTAAAAACAGTTCAAGCTAAAAATATAACCCTAAATCATAAATCTAATTAGATTAAGGATTTCTTCTACTAAGATAGACGGTTGGCCTGCTTGGTGGAACACTTAGTAGCACAATAAACTCCTAATTTCTCTAATGTTTTATGAATAATTGTGGAAATATACCACATCTGCTTATTTAACCTGGATAAGGAAGTATAACGCCGCCTTATGTTGCATTAGTAAGCAACTATTTCTTGCAGAAAACAGAAGCCCAACACCTCAAAAAGCACAGATAAGCTGAGAACCTGCTGCAGTGTTTGGTCACAATCTGCCACCACTTATGGCTTTAATAACATATGGCTTTGTGTAAAGATGTGTGGCCAAGTCTTTACCACAACGATTCATTCCTGGTGGCTGCCGACAGATATGATGTTATAATTAATGCTGACGCTGAAAGGAGTACAAGTGTAATGTGGGAGTAAGCTTTGTGGCATCACACAATATACATCCTGTAAGAAAACTGAGACTGTTTAATTCCTCAGTCATGATATTCAATTTCAACAACCAAATGGGAGCTAATGTATCTTTAAATATGTTGTGTTTGTGACGTAACTGAATCTGTAAATTCCAGTGACAACGTGCAAAGCATTTTAATTATAATACTTTAGACTAAATATATAGAGTTCAGATGTGCAGCCTGTGCTGATGCTACATGATAACTGAAATATTTATCATCATTGATGCTCTCTATGCTTTTGTAATGACAAAAATATTTTGACCCAGACTGTCTTGGTTGTTGTGTGGTAAGTAATGTTTTGGATTTAATGCTGTGCTGCAATTTTTAAGCCTTTACACTTAACCTTAAACTATGTTTGGTTGGGATCCATGATGCTGACTTGACTTGGGACACTTCAGTTGGATTTATTGAATTTTCATCTGTCTTTGTGCAGCTTTCATGATGAATCTATTTCTATGGTGTGAAGGCTTAGCACCTCTAAGTCACTCTCTATGTATAGAGCGCAGCAGCAGGGTGTGGAGCGCTGATACAGACTAACACGGCTCCTCAAAGCATGACAGTCAGGCTTCAATGTTGGTAAAAGGACACACTGAGAATGCATTTATGTTAATTAGCTGTACTCTGCTATTCCTGATACCATATTTTCTACCTATTCTTGATAACCTTTTAGCCATAGTTAATTTTTTTTTTATATTAACAGTGCAGATGTTTAAGGCCTTTAAAGTAATTAGAAAGAAAAAATATTTTTAGATTATCCCTTTTCCTTTTGGCTTTCAGGCCAAATTCACTGGAGATACTACGAAAAACAGCTAGACTAAAGCTAACTAACTAATATAAGTAAAAACAGCAGACATTTTTAAAGGAAGGATGTGGAACATTTTAGCTTTCATCTACTCAGTTGATTCAATACCATACCTTTTATCGTCAATGCCAGAATTTGTCAGCACTTGTCACTGCTCCTGTTAAATTTTTCTGTGTATATTTATTTGAAAGGAGTTTGCAATGTTGCAAAGATCAACTTTATTGGCCAATGTTTTTGACCCGCAGGAAGCTTGTGTACTGAGTGCAGCTTCATGCCGGGATACATGATTTTAATTTCTAAATCTATCCATCCCGGGCTGCATGGGGACACAGTGGGTAGGACTGCTTCCTTGCAGCAAGAAAGTTCTGGGTTCGATTCCCTGCCCTGGTGTACATGTTCTCCCCGTGCATGTTGGGTTCTCTCCTGGTACTCCAGCTTCCTCCCACTGTCAAAAAAACATGGCTGCTAGGTTAATTGGCTTCTCTAAATTCTCCTTAGGTGTGAGTCTGCAAGGTTGTGTTTTTTAATGTACTTTGATCCTTTTTTGTTTTGATGAAGTTTTGTGTTGCACATGTGTTTTTCATATTTAAAAAAATAGTTGAATCTTCACTATGAACTGATAAACAATGTACTAAAGCAAAAACTACTGTTTTGATAACTGCACAATATTAGAATGATCCTTTTTTAGAGAGTGTGGCTAACAAACATAATCTCATTCTGATGCTGTTTGATACTATACTATGTTTTGGTTTAAAATTACTACCATTGTGGATCTGGCTAATAATTATCTATATATGTCAAACAATGACCTGGAAAAACATTTAAAGCTAAAAGAGTCAGAAGGACTCTACATTTGCAGCAAAGGAAGTAGTGTTTTACTTGTCACATATAACAGACTGTTCCATTCATCACCATCCTGTCACCCCACAGATAATTCTCTTGATCTATGGGAAAATCTAAAAACATCCTATGAAACATCTTTATTCACCTAATACTTTTTGTCAGGCAGCCCCCTAAGGTATTCCCCTGAACTTTTTTTCACCCCTTTAAAAGCTGAGGTCCGTTATAAATCAGTGTGGATGTATAATCCCTGTACTACTGTCAAGGATTAAAGGTAACTTTGACAGTTAAAATCTCAGCAGCCCCACCCTGGTGTCAATCAGAGTCAGTTTTCTTCAATTTAAACAAGTCTGAACTGCATCTTAAGGGACTTTGTCAGATGGTTGAAGAAGAGGGGCCACTGTAGGGCAGGTTTGTGCAATTTAATAATTAGCCGTTCTACTTTATCACTCTCATTTTCCTCCTTTCTCTATCCCTAAAACATGTGGCAGAGCTTTTTGTATTGTAGGTGTGTGTTTGTTGGTGTAACCCCCCTTTTTTGCCTCAGCAAGTGTTAGATTCTGGCACCGGGTGTGAAGTACATAAAGGTGTGTGATTGTCTTTGTGATTCTGAGAACTTTTATCCGAGACCAAACGAGTGTAATCTCTAAAAGACACGAGAGTTTTCAGACTGTTGTAGTGACTGATGTTCACAGACAGCTGGGATTTTATTGTTTTTTAACAAGCCCTGGAAAAATGAGTCATACCCATTGAAATCTTTTTTCTTTTTCTTTTGATATGTTAGAACTAAAACATAACACATAGCAGTGTATAATTGTTCACCACACCCTTTTCTTGCAACCACTGCTTTACCAGAAAGGAAAGGTATAAATAGGAGAGAGTGTTCTTTTAGGAAACAGTCTTTAACTTCTTGGCCAGTGTGTAAAACTTCATTAACACTTGAACCGTTTCATTACCACGGTGACACATGTTGGTGGCAAACATCATGTCATGGTCCAATCCAACAGGCAAAGCTTTGAGAGGAAGAAAAAACGTGAGAGTCCAAGTTCAAAGCCTCTAAATTGGATAGAATGGCTTAGAATGCATTAAAATCCAAACTTAAATGCAATTATGGCAAGACCTAATAATAATGCCCCTTTGCTTCTTTCACATCAATTGCACAATTAATAAAATCTATTGCAATGTATGAAAACCTTTAGCGGGTATACATAATGCTGATAGGCACCATCAAAAACCATAAATGGTTTAGAACATGGTTAAATTCCCTGCCGCCATCTGGGAAGAATAAAGACACACCCAGTGACACAATCTTTTATTTTATTTTATTTTTTTATCATGTTTTCGTTTTTTAACTTATTCATTCTGCAGTGATATAAAAACTGAT